TCTTGATGTGTCTAATGACTTTTTTTAAAAAAATGAAAAATGCATAGTAAAGTGTATATGTAATTGTTTCACGAAATCCTAGGAGCTTAAATTTTCTGGATAATGACGTAGAGTGTTCTGTAGACATGATGGTCATAGGGTTCTAACTGACTCCATGATGTCAGCCTTTCCTTAATATTCCTGAGACTGATACAACATCTTATTTCCAATTCATCATTTCACTTACAACAAACACACACCTATAAACTTATATTTATATAGGCTCATATTCAAAGGCATAGGATAGTTAGGACTGCACGCCACCAATTAAAAACATGACTTACCTAGTGTTTCACTGTAAAACCGATCCCACGTCCTCATATTACATGTTTGAAACCAAAAGTCAAAGTAAAGCACATATATCATATTTTTCACTCTCTCCATGAATGCCATTTGATCACTTAATTCTGATAGAACAATAGGTACATAGGAAGGAGGGATNCCATGAATGCCATTTGATCACTTAATTCTGATAGAACAATAGGTACATAGGAAGGAGGGATTAGAAGTCCTCCACTATACTTTTCAAATGTGTATCCAGGAGAGAAGCGCAGACTGTACACAAAGGGTATTTGAAGTAGCTCAGCCAGCAGCTCACCACAGGGACAAATGGCATCTGCAAGAATGACATTAAACCTTGATTCTTGTAGTTTTATCATATATTTCTTGTTCAAAACTGCTTCTTTACATAGCATTAGAGCATAGTCAGAAAATTCCCACAGGATTTCCTGCATTTGTGAAAAATATGACCAAAATGAATCTTTTGGAATATCATACACCATCTTACTGATCAGGCTCATGAACGTATCCTCATAAACATCTTTACTTAAAGATGTAGGATAAACTTCAAATTTACTACCCGATGTTTTGTTGGTATCAACAAGAATGGAAGCTGAAGATGTCAATACAGTCACCTCATGCACTCTCTGTAAAAGTTCATCCAGGATTGTCTTCATATTCATCCAGTGGCTGTATTCTGTGGGCCACACCAGCACCTTTAAACAACTTCCAAATTTAAAGTAACAATTCACTTGTAGCAGCAGAAAAGCTGATGTCCATGTCATAGACATCTTGATGCAATGCAATGCTTCTTTTTTAGTTGTTGTTTCTCTCTTATTCTCATGCTTATGTCCAAGGAGAAATCAATCAAGAAGTTAAAATATAACTCCTACACTTCAACGTTAATACATTACATGAACAGGCAGAGAATGTGCATGGCAAGAGGGCAAACCAAAGGTGGATGATCTCATGCTTACACAAATGTGTTTAGTGTCTCTTTTGTGTTTATAAGCTAAGATTGATGACTGTGAATGTGCAAGTCAATTCACTTGTCTTATGTAAAATATTTGAGAATGGCATCAAAAACTCCTAGGCTTCTAAATAAAGGAATTTTATGAACAGTCTGAGCATGTGGATGGCAAATGAACAAACAAAAGGTAGATGGTCTCATGCTTACGCAAGTGTGTTTAATATCACTTTTATGTTTATAAGTTTTAACATTGAGCTAATATTGATGACCTTGCATGTGCAAGTCTCTTGTCTTATGCAATAAAATCTGTCAAAAACATTGGCAAGTGAGAGGTTCTTGTGTCTGTAGTCTTCCTGACACAGAACTAGGCATAAAGTAATTATATAGTCAAAGCAGCATTTGTTGGAGTTCGTGACTGAAGAATTTCTTTTTAAAAAACTTTGTGGACATATAATTCACATACCTTACCATTCACCAAGTATTGTATAAAATTTAATGCTTCATAATATATTCCCAGAATTGTAAATCCACCAGAATATTCAGTTTTAGAGCATTTTCACCTTCATACAGAAACTCTATACACTTTAGCCTGCATCTCTCCACCATGAATTCTCCATCTTACCAGCCCTAGGCAACCACTGGTCTAATTTTTATCTCATAGATTTGCCTATTCTGAATACTTTTTGTGAATGGAATCATATGACCTGTGGTCTTTTAGTGACTGGCTTCGTTCAATTAGCACAATGTTTTAAAGGTTCATCCATGGCATAGCACATATCAGGACTTTGTTTCTTTTGATTTCCAAGTAGTATTCTATATTATGCATATGCACATTTTATTTCTTCATTTATCAGTTTACGGAAATTGATTTTTCTCCTATTTTTGGCTATTATAGATGATGCTGTTTATTAATATTCATGCACAAGCTTTGTGTAGACTATTTCATTTCACTTAGGCATATACCTAGAAGTGGAATTGCTGGGTCATATGACAGCTGTATGTGTAACTATTTGAGGAATTGTTAGACTATTTTTCAAAGCAGCTGCACCAAGTTCTATTTTCATCAGCAAAGTATGGGGGCTGCAATTTCTCCATATCCTTGACAACAATTTTTCCTGGGGTTCTTCAAAGATATCACAGAAATATTAATATTATCTTTCACTTTTATTTTTCTGCAACTTTTTGATGTTTCCTTGCATTATACATCATTGATTGTAGGCAAGATAGTAGGAGTAGAGTGGTATCTCATTATGATTTATATATTTTTTGGTATCCAATGATGTTGAGCATTGATTTATATACTTAATAGCCATTGCATATTTTTCTTGGGGAAATTTCTATTCATATCCTTTGCTCATTTTTGATTGGGTCATTTATCTTCATATTATTGAGTCATAGGTTTTATTTTAAAATATATTTTTGATACAAGTTCCTTATCACGTAGGTGGATTGCAAGTATATTCTCTAATCCTATAGGTTGTTTACAAGAAAACACTGGGATGTTGATAAGATTGCATTGAATTTGTATATCAATTTGGGGAGTAGAGCATGACCGTTACAACAATATTAAGTGTTTTGTTTTAATTTATGAACATGAGCTGCCTTTCCATTTATTTAGATATTCTTTAATTTCTTTTAATAGTGTTTTTTAGTTTTCACCATTCAAGTTGTATACTTTTTGTTAAATTTGTTCTTAGGAATTATATGATCTTGAATAATATATTTTAATTAAATTATTTATCCATTTATTATTTAATTGACACATATTGATGATACCCGTTTATGGAGTATGGTGTTATATTTCAATACATGTATATGATGTGTGATGATTGATTCAGGGTAATTAGCACATTAGTTATTACAAAAGTTTATTATTTCTTTGTGATGAGAGAGCATTTCATTTCCTCTCTTCTAGCTAATTAAGAACATACATTGAATTATTGTTAATTATAGATGCCTAGCACTACCGTAGACCAATAGAACTTATTTTTTCCATTTAGGTGTGATTGTTTTCTGAATTTCATTTTGGATTTTTCATTGCAATTATGTAGAAATATAAATTATTTTTGTTTATGGATCTTGTATCCTGAAAACTTGCTTTGTTTATTCTAATATTTTTCTAGTGGATTCCTGAAGATTTTCTATATATGACTGACTACGTCATATGAAATAGAGATACTTTAACTTCATCCATTTTAACATGGCTTCCTTTTTCTTCATTTTCTTGCCTAATTGTCTCGGGTAGAACCTCTAATACAATATTGAATAGAAATGAGGAAAGTGGATTTAGTCTTTATGAAATATAATGTTAGCTGTGGGTTTTTTATAGATGCCATTTATCAATTTGAGAAAGTTCCCTTTTATTTCTAGCTTATAGAGTACTGTTATGATGAAGGGTATTTGATTTCACCAAATGATTTTGTCTGCATCTATGGGGATGATCATGCAGTTTTTGTCCTTTATTCTAATGATGTGGTGTATTATTTTAATTGATTTTTAGGATGTTAAAGCAATTTTGAATTCCTGAGATAAATTCTACTTTGTCATGGTGTATAACCTTTTTCATATGTTCCTGGATTTAGTTTGCTAGCATATTTTTTTTTAAGATTGTTGTGTTTATAATCGCAAGAGATATTGATCTGTAGTGTTCATTTTTGGTGATTTTTAAAAATGTTTTTAGTATAAGGGCTTATCTGAATATGTTGGTAATGTTTCCTCCTCTTATATTTTTTGGAGAAGAATTGATATTAGTTCATTATTAGACGATTGGTAGAATTTGAAAGCAAAGCATCTGAGCCTGGACTTTCTTTTATGGGTTGTATTTTGCTTCATTCTCTAATTCATTCTCTCTTTTCATTATAGGTCTATTCAAATTTTGTTTCTTCTTGAGTCTATTTTGTAGTTGCTTTTCTCTGCACCTGCCTGTAGTAGAGTTTCTGTCCCACTGATGTGGAAAATAGTGAGAGAGCAGGTCATGGTTGAAATGTAACATGTTCTTGCCATTTCTCTGCCAAGTCTTGGTGTAAATTTTTTGAATAAATGTTGCTTTATGTGCTTTTTCATTAGAACAATTTCTGCATACTTTAACTTTTTCATACTAAAAACATTTTTTTTAGTGCTAAAGATGTAATCACTTTGCATCTCTTCCACAATCAGAATGCTGTATGGTATAATCCAAACATTTAATAAGTTTATAGGCTTAAATTAAGTAGAAATGTTTAGGATACATCCCGAGTATACATTTATACATTCATCACTCAGCACTGAGTCATCTTTTGTAAATCGTCTTTTGTAAATACATATATGTATACTTTTTTTTTGAGCGCCAGTGTTATCTATTTACCAGTGCACCACTTTCTAAAGTTATGTTATATATGTAAGAATGCTTAATATAAGCTCTACTCTTTTAGCAAAATTTTAAGTGCACAATACATTATTGTTAACTATAACCACAGTATATTCTAAAGCAGATCTGTAGAACTTATTCAGTTTGTATAATTGAAACTTTACACTCATTGAGTAGCCACTTCCAATTTTCTCAATCCCCCATCCCTTGACAACCACCATTCTACTCTCTGCTTCTGTGAGTGACTATTTTAGATACTTCATTTACGTGAAATCATGCAGTATTTGTTCTATCACTACTGGCTTATTTTACTTAACATTATGCCCTCNTTTTGGTATCCAATGATGTTGAGCATTGATTTATATACTTAATAGCCATTGCATATTTTTCCTGGGGAAATTTCTATTCATATCCTTTGCTCATTTTTGATTGGGTCATTTATCTTCTTATTATTGAGTCATAGGTGTTTTTTTTTAAATATATTTTTGATACAAGTTCCTTATCACGTAGGTGGATTGCAAGTATATTCTCTAATCCTATAGGATGTTTACAAGAAAACAGCTGGGATGTTGATAAGATTGCATTGAATTTGTATATCAATTTGGGGAGTAGAGCATGACCGTTACAACAATATTAAGTGTTTTGTTTTAATTTATGAACATGAGCTGCCTTTCCATTTATTTAGATATTCTTTAATTTCTTTTAATAGTGTTTTTTAGTTTTCACCATTCAAGTTGTATACTTTTTGTTAAATTTGTTCTTAGGAATTATATGATCTTGAATAATATATTTTAATTAAATTATTTATCCATTTATTATTTAATTGACACATATTGATGATACCCGTTTATGGAGTATGGTGTTATATTTCAATACATGTATATGATGTGTGATGATTGATTCAGGGTAATTAGCACATTAGTTATTACAAAAGTTTATTATTTCTTTGTGATGAGAGAGCATTTCATTTCCTCTCTTCTAGCTAATTAAGAACATACATTGAATTATTGTTAATTATAGATGCCTAGCACTACCGTAGACCAATAGAACTTATTTTTTCCATTTAGGTGTGATTGTTTTCTGAATTTCATTTTGGATTTTTCATTGCAATTATGTAGAAATATAAATTATTTTTGTTTATGGATCTTGTATCCTGAAAACTTGCTTTGTTTATTCTAATATTTTTCTAGTGGATTCCTGAAGATTTTCTATATATGACCGACTACGTCATATGAAATAGAGATACTTTAACTTCATCCATTTTAACATGGCTTCCTTTTTCTTCATTTTCTTGCCTAATTGTCTTGGGTAGAACCTCTAATACAATATTGAATAGAAATGAGGAAAGTGGATTTAGTCTTTATGAAATATAATGTTAGCTGTGGGTTTTTTATAGATGCCATTTATCAATTTGAGAAAGTTCCCTTTTATTTCTAGCTTATAGAGTACTGTTATGATGAAGGGTATTTGATTTC